CATTCACAGATAAAGCTGTTCCACTGATGTAATAGAAAAAGGCATGTCTATCAAATCAGTTACATGTAAAGCAACAAGGATTAAAGAGAGGGTAATAAATCCATTGGAAACCACAAATGATGCTGTCTGCAGTGCAGCATACACTCCTGAAAAAGTACTTATCCATTCGGCAAGGTGGCAAGCCCCAAACTAAAACAGCCTGCTGGAATACTCACAATTCACGTGTTTAAAAATAGTGATTCAGGACTGCCAAAAAACTAGCCTTTAATAAAATGGAAGATTTAAGGTTCTTCTTATTTGATTTCTAGGAGTGGTAGCATTTGTTGTCCCCATTGTTAAGCTTTGCTGTATAACAATAATTACAAATCTTTTTTCCAAGATCACCAGAGATTATAAAGAAATAGCCTTATGCCCATAGCAAGGGTTCTGAGTCAAGTATGACGTATCAAAAAAACTAGCAGTAACACTGAGGAAGTCACAATGTTATCCTTTCCCTCTTTTCTTTCAGAAAAGGATCTGGGAGTCCTGGTAAACAACAAGTTGAACATGAGCCAGTCATGCACCCACGCAACAAAGAAGGCCAACAGCCTTATGGACTGCACTGGGAAGTGCATTGCCAGCAGGTGGAGGGAGATAATCCTTCACTTCTACTCAGCACTGATGAAACATCTGGAGTACTGGATCCAGTTCTGGGTTCCCCAGTTCAAAAGAAATATGGACATACTGGAGTGAGTCCAGCAACGAGCCACGAAGATGATTAAGGAATTGAAGTGCCTGTGATAGGCTGAGAGTGCTGGGACTGTTTAGCCTCGAGAAGAGATGTTTCAAGAGGGATCTTAACAATTTGTATAAATACTTTATGAGAACAAGTATACAAGATGGTGCCAGACTCTTCAGTGATATCCAGTGAAAGGAGGAGAGGCAATGGATACAAATTGAAATACAGGAAATTTCATGTAAAATTAATAAAAAATTGTTTTCCTGCAAGTGTGGTCAAACAGGTACAGGTTGCTCAAAGAGGTTGTGGAGTCTTCATCCTTATGATATTCAAAACCCAGCTGGACATAGCCCTGAACAACCTGCTGTAGTTAACACTGCTTTGAGCAGAGGATTGGACTAGTAGATCTCCAGAGGCACCCTCCAACCACAACTGTTCTGTGATTCTATTGTACTTCACTGTATAAAACTGAACTCAATTTTTTGACCTTCCATGTCTGAAAGCAAATCTGTACTGAGCTTTCTCTCCAAATTCCTTCACATCCAACCGGTTATATCACTACTGGGTATGATTTAAAGAGGTTAGAAATAAGGGGGAAAAAAGAAGAAGAAACGTGAAACTTTGGCAACTGCAGGACAGAAAGGATGTAAGGCTGTTCTATAAGGGATGTATTTCAAAAACACCCACACAACAGAGTCCAAAGCCTCATTAACGCCAGGCTATAGGAGAGAGATGCATTCTTAGCAGAAAAGCAGAGCCAAAAGAGGCCAACTATATAGCAACAAACTTATTCTAAACCCTGTTGGTTTAAAGGGAGCAGTGAAGCTACAAAGTTTTGTTCTCCTGAAGGCTCCCTTCAGAGCCTAGCCAAACTTCATTCTAGTACTGGAGGAGGGTATTTTGAGATCTGGGCTTTTCCATAATAGAAGAACCATAAAATGAAAAAAAAAAAAATCAGCTTTTTACCTGAGATTACACACTATGATATATCATGTTTGTGTCATCTCTGCCTTCAATTTGACAAACTACCACAAATTGCATCAAAGATCAACATATGCCATTTGATCACAAGCCACAAAGAGTTCAGTTCTGTCAAGGTTTAAATCAAGGCTGAAGAGCAGACGTTCTGAAGATTTGTGAGCATGGCACGCATAAAGCCTGCATTGTGATTCAGTCAAAACTAATTAGACCTTTCAAGCAACCTCTTTCTACTCCTGTCTATACAACACCGATGGAAGGATTTGTCTCCGTCTTTCCCTGACAGAGTGACGAGGTCATGGAAAACTAATGTTCCTCAAGGTTCTTCAAGTGGCTGTACCACACTGGCTTGGAATAAAAGAAAATATTGAAAACTCTACTGGCAGGAGTTCCAGCAGCCTTGGCAGAGGGGCATCATGTCAGAAAAGATGTCCACCAGTGTGTCTGTAATTGTAATATTCAAGACATACTGGAGCTTTAAAAGAAAAGGTAATCTCTTTGAAAGGAAGAAATGCTCCCTCTTGGATCACTACATAGATGCCACCCTGCAAACTATTACCTCCCCACCTGCTGAGTCTTCACAGCAATATTCAGCCAATGTCAGCAGTCCAAGCTTAAGGATGATTATCCACTTCTATGAATAAGGGAAAGTGTTTTTTTCTGAGGATGTCTGAGGTCTTTGTGATGAACTACTGTTCCTCAACACCTTTCTCCTGGAGAGAATTCTATGAGGAAATCAGTACAAAGCAGGCAGGGTACTTTTCTTCTCTTTCTCCCTTTTTTGCATAGAAGAAAGGTGATCAAAGCACATGATTTCTTTTTACACTTTATATATCTCATTTCCAGCTCCCCAGAGACAAACTCAATACCAAGGACGTATTGTGAACCCTTGATTGCTTCAGTGCTATTTGGACCAATGCATCCAAAACTAAAAAGAACACCTGGCCAAATGAATTTCTGATAAATAATTCAGTTGGGTGTACAGAGCCAAATGCCATTTCTTCTGTGGGCTACACAATGCCAGGAGTGTCAGTTCTTTCTCAGTGCTTGAGAGTCCGTAATTAGCGTAGCTCCACAGTGAGGACTATCATTTTACATTAAAAATTCCATCATTTGGGAATTAAAACTGCAGATTATTTTGTGAAGCGTGGCCAAGATAAATCTTATTATTTAAAACAAATCTTTACAGGTATTGACAAATGTAATAAAATTTCAAACATGAAACCAAAAGGGAATTTTTTATATTTCAATTCCAGCATTGTAAAGGAAACTCTTTCATGCTTAAAATTCAAACTCAGTGTGTCAAGTAATTTCACTGTTACAGATTTGAATTACCTGCACTGGCCTGAGGGCATTATTCACTGAGAAAAATTGTACTTTAATACTGCTATGATTTTCCCAAGTAATTTTTATGCAGAAACCACGATGAATCTGAAACATCTATTTCAAGATTAAAGTGACGACATTTGGCGACTGCAGAGAACCATGTAATTGAGAACTGGGCTTAGGGATGTGCCCAAAATTAAATACGGGAATAAGAAAACAATATTACTAAAAGGACCAATGTTTTGCTTTCTTTGCTTAACTTCTGGGATGTGGATATTAAATATGGTTACAAAATACAAATAAACCCTTACTTCAAAAATGTTTAGATGCATATTGAATGCTTACGCTATATGGAAAGACCATGAAATTGTTGGCCACTGTCCTAGCCCATTTAATAATTTCTGTCACATGCAGGAGAAAGGATAATCTTCCCACTCGGTTTTAATGGATCCATTTTTGGAAGCACTGAATTATTAATTTCTTTTAGGGGTTATCTGCTGCCTGGTCATTTGTTAACTTCATATTGAAGTTGGAGGCTGGACCCAGAGCATGCTCTGAAGAGGCCTAAGTCCACAACAGAGCCTGACATGAACTGAATTCCATCATTGACCTAGATAGGGCAAGAATTTAATGTATAAATAAATATCCTTACCCAAAAGTGTACATCAAAAGCCTTTCAGCAATAAACTTCCAGGTGAAACTCTGGATTAATTGGTTCTCTTGTGAGCATCTGGCTTTGAAGAAATGTGCAGATAGAAAAACTGATGCTTTTATATGATGAATTCTACCAGTAAAATAGGGTAATGGAGAGTACTCAATGTTTTTATTATTTAAATAAAGTTTACTGTAGGATAGTAGATGAAAAAATTTACTATGTTAAAGAAATCAAGTTAACAAGAGATGCATTCTTTTCTTGAAGACTTTCCAGATTAGCTGCCTTACTATTTGTATCAAGGTGGGGCCACTTCATTACAAAGTCAACCACAAATGTTAGTGTCTTGACTCACTACTTTCAAGGTAACTAGTTGTCTTGATAGTAAATTTTCTTTAACTGTCTAAGAATCTCATTACCAGGTTTTTCACTATAGTAAAACATTGATTAACTAAGTATAATGAGGTTTAGGAGTAACTGCTGGGCATTGAGGGAATTTGTCTTGTAACTGATAGAGGCTAGGGAACACAACATGGGAGGTTTTAATAACTGAAGTGGCGATAACGCAGGTTCACATGTCTATTAGCCCTTATGCACTGAATCCAACATCATCCTTAAATTCTTGCTCTGTGAGCCAATGAAGGCTGAAAACCACTGAGGACAAGAAGCAGCAACTACTTTGATGAATGAAATATGAAAAATTAGCTATGACAGAAGTTAATTAGTCTCTTCTTGTATTTGCACTGGTTTTGCCCAAGATTCATTCTGGTTGGGAAGGAACAGCACTGTAAAGCAGGGAGAAGGGATCCAAAAAAAAAAAGGCCTCCTTTGAGAATTAAAGGCCTCCTTCCAGAACTACTGCCCTGGTTTTTAACAGGTAACACTAGAAAGATTCACCAATGACTGGTCTTCTAAAAACATGCTAAGAAATCAACCAGTGAACCTCCGTAAGTGGGGAAATCTGTCACATAACCTAGGCATACTGTGCTGTTGCTCACTGCAGTAGGAGAAATTTAAAGCTACAAGAAGTAACTGTGATCTAACTGTGCATGATCCACTGCCTGCTGAAGTCAATACAAATATTTCAATTCACTAAATTGTGTATTAGATTCCAGCCACTAAAGAACCTAATAGTAACCAAACTATTCCCACCACTATAGAACCAATAGTAACCAAACTATTATACCACAGGATAAAATAAAACAGTATGGTGACAATACATCGTAACATTAGCTGAAATTAACTTAGTGCATTTTCTCCTTTAGTTAAATGTCCCCTATGAAAATTATTTAAATGTTTTGATTTTTCTGCTAAGCTTTTACTTACCTAAATAAAGATGTATTTTTGTTCTTCTTCCTCTTCTGCTACTGAAATGCAGCCCTGATGACTCTATCGCTAAGTGGCTGAGTTGGTCTGAAGTTATCTCCTAGGATTCCATCACAGCCCTCTAAAAGCTCAGCACCTTTAACATGTGTCCTCAGTCTACGAAATTCCTCTATCTGAAAGGCAGAAAAACAGACATGAAGAAGCTGAGATACATTCTTCGCTATGGGACTAATGATCAAAATCAGTCTTGCCCAGACAATTCTGTAGCTTTGAAACTTGGAGTGTTCAGGTTCCATATACCAAGGTATGTATCATTACATACATTTTAATAACATTTTAAAATAGTTGTCAGTACAGTCAAAACATTTAACATACATAGAAAAAGAACTTTTATGCACATGGTTTAGCAAACTTATCCATTGCTTTTTCATAACTTCCTTTGGGATCTATAACCTTCTTAGCCACTGTAGATTACACCCTATGAATAAACCTCACAGCTGTGACATAAGGGTAATCATTCTGGTCTTCTTCAAAGAAGTGCATTTCAGGAATAACTTGGTTGACAATTAATTGTTTTGAATTTCTGCCAGTGATTTAGTTATTGCCTGAAATTGTTGCTTGATTTAAATAAAAATTATTTTCTAAACTAGGAGAATTCCAAACAGATTCTCAGCTTTAGAGGAAGCCTGTTGACATTTTATATGGAAAAATAAATACAAAAAATAAAAGCAAAATACCGCTTCAGAAGTTCTGTATATGTAGGTGCTAAGTATACTTAGAAAATCAAATACAGTCAAAAATCAACATAAAACATTTCAAATGGTCCAAACCAACTATGTTTCTGGTTTATAGACTCTTTTTAGATTTTTCTAAATCTAATCTGGTATAGGGAAGAATGTGAGTAGCTTCCATCTCCATCCCTGGTACACATCAAGCACTGTGTGACAAAAAACTAAGAAAATCAATGCGTATCTCAGCAACTTTATACCTTATTGTTCAACAGTACTGTTTTTAAGAGTCTGGTATTTGAAATAAGTAGTTACAACTACTAAAAAAAATGTGTTTGTTTTTTGCTTTGGCATATTGACAAGCTATCTTAGCAGGATACAGCAAACCTGCTTGAAGGCTGACACCCCTACCCTGAGCATTTGTACTTGCACTGACCCTGTGATGCCTCACTATCCAGCTCAGCTGTAACTTGAAACTGAAGCTACATAGAAAGCAAAATGGGGCCTGAAGTATTTAACCATTTTATCATCTAAGAAATTATGCAGTGAATTTCTCCATGAAGAACACTCTATGAAGGATTACAGTAAGAATGGAAGTGTGATTCCAAATTAAAAGAAAGGAGGCATTCAACAGCAGGTAATGGCATTTTTATTCTTATATTGTCTCCAGAGAATACTTTCTTACTGCAACCTGGAAGACAACTGTCTTCATTGCTGTTTTCCACTCTATAGCAGAACTGATACAGATTTATTTACTTGATTTAGATGCTAGCTCTGCTCTGCTGTATCTTCCTCAAAAACCAGTGTGCTTAGAAATCAACACGCAGCTTCTTGCAGCTGAGATATAAGGCAACAGCTTAGACACAAAAGATGAAAAGCAGAATGAACTGTAAAGCTCCTTGAAGGTTCTTTTAGAGGCAGATCCCTATTTTGGAAGATTATTTTTTTTATGTTTATTTTAAGCAAACTGAAAATAAACCCACTATAGACTTGGAACTGAAAAAGTCTTCAGAAGTCAAGTGCTGGTAAATTGCTGAATGGGTTTTGTACAGGTACCCTCTTTCACCATCTGAATTAACTCCGGAAAGTCTGAAATAATTGTAGTTTGGGAAGGAGCATTTTACAAGAATGTGGCTTTTGTTTGATCTTTTCAGAATGAGAGACTTCAAACAAACACAGATGAAGGAAAGGGAAGAGCAGACTCTCTGCAAAGCTGGCATTTGTGAGCTGTCTCCTACTGTAACTACAAATGCTCTGCCCAATCCTCACAGTGAAATCTTTCTCCGGGAGCTACTCCTCACAAAGCAGCTTTCACTTTCTTCAATCAGGAAAAGTAGGTCTGACCTGATCCTCGTGCCTGCTCTTTAGTCTTCAGAGAAGTCCCGAATTGCAGCCCTACTTCGAGGGGGAAGTGGTTCTGTCAGAAAAGGACACTAACTGTGCTGACACTACTTTCCCCATTAAATTTCCATGTGATAAGGCAGTATGTGTGCCCCACTCATTCTGCTTCATCTCATATGGAACCACTTACTACCTCCTCCCAACCCCTCGCAAGGCAATGTTGTGAATTACACCCCATAGGACTGCCAAGGAAATAGATATTTTAGAAGCACACAGCTAAGCACCCTTGGATATTCACATACTTTCAACAGGCAGAGCCATTTATAAAATTTTTTCTCATGCGCAGAAGACAGTAAGGATGACCTAGGCCTGTTCACACCAAAATTCAGGATCAAATTCTAACCAGTGAAGGGGTAAATCCACAATGTTAACAGTCGTATTTCTACTGAGTAGAAGCATTTAGTTTATATTTTGTAGAATTTTGCAAGAATGTTTTTTACCACTTTGCTGTATTCAGATCCTGAATACTGCTTTCTTCTGTTTCACTTAAATATTTGCTGAAGAATAGAATACACAAAACAAAGAATTTGCATGTTTTCTCTACAAATATTTCTTCTATATGAGGAATAGAAGCATTGTCCTTCTGCTTGAAAATTTCACATGCCTCCATGATACCTTGGAAGAACACAGACCTACTTTCCAGTGAACAGAATACCACGAACCTCTCAGAGTGCTTTATTTCACAGACTACGTGTATTTTGCACGATTCCAGCTCCATATGCTAGTTACTATTTCTGTCCTTTAGGAGGCCTTGATTTTGAATGAGGTAGACAAAAGCACTAGAGACCTCGCCATTCAATACAAAACCAGTTAACTCTGACAATGAGTACTGCAGAATGACAGCTCCTTGCTGCATCATTGTTTAAAATCCCTACTCCAAGTGGTTTAGACAATGTACTTGTTCTGGGCTTCAGCGAACCACAAAGCACATTATTCACAAATGTCCAATTTTTTAAAAATGTAGTGGAGAGAAGCACGAGCAAGTCTTTTTCAATTATTTCCTGCTCTTTGCTGGCCTAATAGGAGGGAATTTTCTATTTTCTGCCATTGCATTTCAGCAGTGTACACACCTGGGTGAGGTGTCTCACAAAAGCAGTCTACACAGTTCTTTCTGGGCTATGAATTTCAAGATAGGACAAGTGAGGATGATAAAAACCACAAAAGGAGGGCAGAAATATGCCAAAAGAGCACTGCAGGGTGCAGCTTTCCAGATAAGCTCCCTTCCGCTGAGATCAGTAATAAAACTCCAAGAACCAGATCTGCAAAGCCCTTATTCTGCAAGGGAGAAGAGTCACTTGCACACTTTATCCAAACCTGGCTTGCTCTTTTGCTATTCGTATAACCAACACAGTCAGATCCCAGCTGCTGAAGTGAGGTGCACATGGAGATGAATCTCCTTTCACTTAACAGTGACTTAGCTCAGTAGCAAATCAAGTCATCAGTTGAACTTTACTATCTGTAAGTATCTCCAGGAGAAACAGAAAAAGGTTCTCTACTTTGCAATGGTCAGCTTCTTATGCCTATGTCAAAATAGTTACTCCTCCATTGCTTCAAAATAAGCAAATGAGAAAATGCATAGATGTGACTATGAACTAGAATGGCAATTTTATTCATTTTTCCCTTTATGACCCACAGTTTATTAAGCTAATCAACATTGCTCTGTTAATTACAGAAAATGAGAATGTGAATAAGTATCTTGTCTCCAATATATTAACTAGCTTCATCAGAGGAAGGCAATAAACCCTATTCTGTATCAGACCGTGTTGTTCTTTACTGTTACTTGTTATTGACACTCAGAAGTTGATTTTTTTTAAGGCCTGAAAAATGAAAATAGAAAGCCTTGAATTTGTTTCTTACCGTCTATAACCACAGATGCTACTCATATTTATATAAATCACTTGAAGTTTCCTAAGCTGTGTTCATTAGTATCCCACAGAAGAAAGTTCTACAAGTTAATGACACATGTAAAAATAATGTATTTAAATCCATTAGAAATGCATTTGCACTGAAACCTATGCTTTACTACTACAAGCGGGCTTAATAAAATTAAATGCCTTTACCAGCCTTCCATGGATGATTCAGAATGGTATATGCTATATTACATCCTCTTATTTTCCACAGACAAAAGCCCTTGCATTTCTAATCTCTCCTTAAACAGAAAGTCTCACAGGCACTCATGCCCACATGCACAAAAGAGGCCAGATACTTAATCGCAGCCAAAATGTTACTTAGAAGTTAAAATCTTGGATGTCTAGGCTATAGCAAAATATTCTGGCACCCCCCAAAATCTCATTTTGAGCATCCTTGAAAACTCTCAGTCCCTTTTGGCTTTAGAATCCCAGAATCACTATATCTCACTTACTTGTCCCTACATTTATTTTCAATTCACATTTGAAAGTGCTATCTGATGCAAGTAAAATTTTTATCCCATCTTGGCAAAAGTCCTTCATGTTCTTAATAAATCTTTTCTGCACAACCTTGACTTTAATGCTGCTGCATTCATAACTAGCAGTAAGGATTTTTTTTTCTACTTGATGCTGATCTACGACAAGTACAAAGTATTGTGGATCATACTGGCATAAATCCACTTCAATCTCTCACTCTGCTCCAGTGCCACATCTCACCTGCATACTGTGCCAGTGGCAGGGAAAAAGCCCCTCCATGACTTGTGTGCCCTTCATCACTGCAATGTTCTTGTTGGATTGGTTTTACACCAATGAAAGTAATGCAGTGACACGAACTTGATACCCTTCACCCAAAGGCAGCCATGGTTATCAATCACATTCTTTTCCCCAGGCACTATGGGTCACTCTTTTCCGCAGGCACAATATTCTCTTCTGTACACTTACCCCTTCATACCATGTTCCAATATCTCATTTTCTTGTGGTAAATGAGTACACAATAATATTAACTAAACTTGCATTTCTCTGCTTGATTCCTCTTTCATTCACCTTCTCGCCATGTCCCACCACATGTGGATGGCTTGAACTGTGCCCTCCTCTGGGCATTGACTGTATTAAAAGGGAATAGAGACTACAAAATCTGCAACTAGCATGAAATCGAATATCATACAATGTCTCAGTGTAATAGCTATGGTCTTTATACTTCTGATTAAGTTCTCTTCTTTATTCATATCATATCTGGACAATTAGCTGCCAAGTTACAAAATGCACTGTCTTTAAAAGTTGTTCTGAATCTAGTAATGCCAACAGAGTTCTGTTTCCATTTACTCAGCAGTAAACAGCCATAAGACTTATCCTTTCACAAGCAAATAAATACCAGATTCATGATGGGATACATTTAAGTTGCAGCTACCATATAAATAAGCTGATGGGGAGCTATTGCTTTTATCCTATGATTAGAACTAGAATTCAGTTTTCAGATGAAAAGAAACACTGCCAATTTCAAATTGTTAAAATTGTTAAAATATTGTGCTGGGATTACTAGCAAAATTTGAGATTATTAAAGCTGAAATAATTTAAACTGGAATTTATGACCTTTTAAGCTTTTTTTCCTTCTGTCTTCACATGCTTCAGAGCAGGCAATGAAAATTAACACATTCACCTTCAGGGATTCTAGATAGTTTCACTTAAATTAAACCCACATTCCTCCAGTTGGGAATCACAGACTGTGGGAGAATATTCATCATGAGTTTTCATTGTTTTTACTGGGATTATTTGTAGACAGATTTGAAATGTTTTCTATTAAAAGACTCACATGACTGTTAGATATAATTTAAAAAGAAAAATCACTTTAAAATACATACGTGTGAAGTCAAATTTAAATAGGTAGTTTCCACTCAACATTTATTATAAAACAGAATTAAAAAAGAAGATAAGTTAAATATAGTTCAATGCAATATAGCTAGCCCATACTATGTTAACATTTTTCATTCTCCAGGACATAGTGTCTCCCTGTGCTTTTTTGTTCCTTTAACATCAAAAAGCAGTGATATTTGAAAGCTTACAATTACAAAGAATTGAATTTCTTTTGCCCATTGACTTCTTTCTTTTTCTTTCACTTAAATAAAGAATTATTTTAAATGCAGATGATAAATGATAGCAAGGTTTTTCATCTCTGACCTTTGCATTGCTTTCAGTGACTCAAAAGGCTTAACCTTTACTTGAAAAGCCATGTACTGATCTAATGGGATCTTCAAGGAGAACAGATATAATGTCCTGATATATATATTTGCACGCTATAACCTTTGGCTCATAACCATATTCCAAGGTCACTTTAAGCACAGCTGTTACCTGTACTTGGGACACAGTCAAAGGATAGCGAAATAATATCCAGGTTACACCTTCACTGCAGGGTGGAATGGTTAGAGAGCCCTCATATACCCAGTAGTCACGCAGAAGAGGATCTGAAATTAAAAGAAATATGGAATTTTAATGACATTAAGGAAGATAATTATGCCTTTCAATTATGACAGCTTATGATAGCCATGGGCTTGCTCATATGATGAAGCTAGTATACAGTGAGCTAAGGTGGGAATTGATAATCTGTCAGCACTGTCCACTATTTCTCACGTGAATGTACATGAGCTTGTGGTCATCATACTACAGTAACTTCCCCCTGCACATGAGTATTTTAAAGATGAAAATGCTACTTTATAGATGTGAAAAATCACATGTGCACAGCTCCTTTAACAAACACAGCAAATAAATAATATGACGGGAAAGAACTCCTGTTAGTGTCAAAAGCTACAAGAGGCATCCCACTTTAAAGGCAGAGGGGCTGTGATGATCCAATTTTAACTGACTTCTACATTTACAGTATGTCTCAGGGATGAATTTATTTCATGTTTTTAGAAAAATTCAGTGAAAACAACTCAAGCCAAACTTTTCAGTTCACAATTCTGGTGATATAGTTTTAGAGATGCATTGGTGCCTTCTAGCTTTGGAAAAGTGAGTTGAATTTTACAGCAAAAAAAAATCAAGGTTTATTTAAGAATAAACTTATTTTAATAAGTTTATAAACTTATTAATAGGTTTATAAATAACTGTTAGAATAAACAATTGTCTCTCAAGAAAATATACAATGGTTTACCCAAGCAGAGCTATAACTCTACATACAACACGTTTGATTTTAATTATTTTAATTTTAATTCCTCAAAGATTCCAGTCACACCACACTTCGTGAGACTATAGAGGGCTTTCCTTTGCTGCTGTAGGCCATGCTCACAAATGACTCCCTGACATGGCTTAAGAAGTACGGAGAGGAAACTGCCAGACTGTAAAAGAGGGGACAAGAAACAAACCTAGAGAGGAACTGGAGACAAAGGGTGGTTACTCTTGGCATGGAGAGCTCAGGGGAAGGCTCTGACTAGCTTGACAAGGACAGAATGGGAGATTGGAAATGAACACGCTTGCTTGGTTGACCTAACCTGTTACTGTCATTTCACTACCAGCTCAGAGGAATATGAGTAGAATTAAAACTTGCTAATGAAGTCTGTGATTGTCAGTGAATGGATTTTTGTTTGTTGGTGTGATTTTCCTTCTCAGTTAGGGAATTACAAAGCAAATCCATTGAAAGCAAGTTGCATTATCAACCACTCAAAAGTTAAGAACTGCAAGAATTCAGCCGATCCTGTGCATGCATTGTGATACCATCTTGTTACATGATCACATACGTCTTTTCTAGAGAAACTTTCATCGTTTACTTGCAAAGATGGACGATTTTCTTTTGAAAAGCACCTAATAACATTTGGATTTCTCAGTACAATATGTGGTCCTTGGTCTTCTTTTTCCCATGCTATTCAAATCCTGCTTGTTAGAAGGACCACATTTTCTCATTTTTTCCTGTTTCTAATGCACTCATTTCTTCAGTGTCTGAGTGCTTCACAAACATGAATTAATTTATCCTTCCAGCACCCCAGTGTGGTGAGGAAGGACAGATTACCCCCACGCTTTAAAGCTGGGGAACTGAGGCACAGAGAAGTTAAGGTCAAATGCATCTATTCATTTGAGTTGTTCGATATGAGATGCTTAGAACCTGATTTCTCAGAGTAGTTAACTTTCTATAGCACTTAATGCAGTCAGAGCACTGCTCCCATTGACTTCAGCTGGAGGTGTAAGCACTCAGCACTTCTGCAAATCAGACCCCATGATCTCAAGTCGGGCACCTAGAAAATGAGGAACACATAGTTAGAGATGACTTATGAAAATTTTGATTTATGTGACTTGATCAGCATCAAACAGGAACTGCGAGGCAGGGATCCTGTAAAAAATAACTTATACTCACGCAGCTAAAAGATGTTTTATAACACATATGCATAAAGGGGCACAGGCAGCCTTAATTCCTGCAATTCCTAATTGCTGAGCACTTGACTTTGCAACCTAAACAATATTATTTTGATATAATTAATATAGTTCCATGTAGACCTGGATTACTTTGGAAAATTAAGACTCTTGCTACTATTAAATGGAATTTAGCTCATAAGGATTTCTTGCAGAAACATTTGTTTTGTAGAAATGTATTTTTTTTAAACTCACTTTTTTTTCAAGACCAGATAGCAGTGGTTGTTTCTTACTGTTACTCTTTAACTTTTAGCTATATGAATTTGAATTTGCCTCCCATTGTCACTACTCCTTGTATGCTATACAACTGTTACTGCATTATGGCATTGTCTTTTGATGCTGCCAAAAAGCTACCTTGGCAAGTGGGTAACCTTATGCTTAATATTTTATGCCGAAGTACACACAGCTCCCCCTCTAGGTGGGATGATAAATCATCAGGAAAGCTAGCCAGTGCTGCCAGCAGTGCATAGACTACAGTAGCACATCCCACTCACACGATGAAGGTGCAGTTTTATCATAACTTCCGAAGGGACTTCACCCCTATGCCTGTTAGCACCACTAGGAGCAAAATGCATTACCACCTTATGGGACACCATCTCAGGCTTGCAATTAGGCTATGCTTTAGATTAAGATTGTCTCAGCCTCTGCAATTAGCTAGTAATCCACCCACACAAAAGTAAGCAAAGGCACCTACCTGGCAATAAAGAGTTGGGATTAAAACAGGGTATTGTTTTGGACTTTCCCTGAAAAAACAAATACAAATCAATCTCATCTCTAGTTTCTTATTAAAATGATGATGAATGGAGAGGTGAAATACACTCTGTGTTCTTGTAACATTAAGCCTTGAATTCCTGTGCAAAGCCACCTCATTAATAGCCCCCATTTAATCATTATTGCATTTGTCCTTGCAACTACACAAACACATTTTTTTATTCTATTTTATATTTTACTCCTAAGGTTATCTCAACAATTTGTTAACTTTCTGCCTTTAGTACCTGGGCTCCTTCCAGGACCCAGCCTTGAAATTCTCTACATGAAATTCAGGGGTTCCTTACAAAATGAGTTTAAAAAACAAGGGCCAAAGTGAACTTTTCCTTGACCGACATGGATAATACTCAAAAAAATAAAGCTGGTTCCGCATATGTAATGCAAGACACTTTTATGTATGCCAAAAGTATGTTTGATGCTGACCCTCTGAAAGTCATTAGTATAACATGTTCACGATCACAAGGCCTTTCATGACCTTCCTCTACTTGGCTGCCCTTTCAGTAATGAAACTACAGAGTTTCATACACTATTGTATTCTCTGACACCTTCATAAACAATGAGTTTGTAATATTAAACATCATGACCGAAGTTTACCGTATACTATTTAACTAAAAGAAGATTTTCAGTTCCTTCTAATAACAGCTTCTAAGCTTTCTACACCTCAGCATTCACTGAAGTGAATGACTAATCTCTCCAGACCAATACAGGACATCTCATTAATACTTCTCAAAATCCTTTAAAATTAAAGGTAAGTACGATTATTTCTATGTTACAGACAGAGACTGTGAAGCAAAGAGATGGAAGTAACTTGCCCAAGGTCACTTAAGATGGCATCAACACTCTGGAGGACACTCATATCTCCTTGGTCCCGCTACGCTTATTATGTGATCTTCAAGATCCTCCCACATAATCCACCTGACAAGACAGCATTGTGTTTTTGCTGATTTCCCACTGCAAGTTAATACGGGTGCTCTATCTATTCTTTTCCTCTACAAATTAAAACCAGAGTAGTTTGGAGATGCTGCTGCTTCTGGTGTTCAGTAAGTATGTTGCAGTGTTTGCATTCACACTGACTCTGTGATAATCACTGAAAAGGTAGTATTTGCAATCATGTACTGGTATAGAAGATGAAACCTTCTGGCCATCAGAAAAGTAAGTAACTGCAAAGACTGTGTATTACCTGAAAGTAAAAACTGTGAAATGCTGAGCTTATGATGCAGGCCACCAAACTACGGTTCTGAAACTCTTCTCTTGGCCTCAGTATTTCATATAGACCCTTCGCTCGCTCACTGTCTTTCTGGCCAGTGAAGGAAGCATTTCTTCAGCCAATGCCTTACCTTGTACTGGATGTCCTGGAGAATTTCAGTTACAGCCTTTAGGCCTACATTCTCTTGCCCTATCTGAAATACAGCAAGCAAAGATGAGTTTCAGTATTTTACTATTTCTGAAACTGCGAGCCAAGACAGCAGTCAACCAGAACACTAAGTTCTGTAGTTGTTTCAGTTAAGCTACACAACCTTGTATTAACCAAATACACTGATACGTGGCAACTCCAAACAATTAAATCACTATAAAGTCACTATTCAAAAGTAAATGAGGTGTAAATAGCTTTAAAGCAGAGACAGAAACAGAACAAGAGTCTCAGTTAAGTCTGGTAAGTTTTGACTAACCCTGTTTTTGCAGCATATACTGCATGTGGAGTCAAAATCATGCAGCATTATGGCATGTAACTACCATGGATACAGTTTGTTCTTACCAGTTTTTGCCAGAAAAGTACACAGAAAGGAACAGAGTGAACAAGCACCACGCACACTTTTTGAATTTGTTCCCACAGTGTTGCAAATCTAGCCTAAGTATCTCTGAAGCTTGGGGGAGTGTTTTCCTGCCTGCAGAGTGCAGAATGGCAGATCCCCTCCCTCATGGCATCTCTGGGATCCTGCTGGCAAAAGTCAGGTTCCCGGCAGCCTGCAGCACTGCCTTTACTGAATGTCTTTTAAGGCACGTAAGATTGGGCTTTCAAAAGAATCCTATTCTTGAAATAAGATATTCTTATTTTCTATGAACATTTTTCACCCTGTAAACTGATTTCAGCTGCTTCTAATCTAAAAATCACCCATCCTAGGACCCTAGCTGTGACCTTCAGAACAACACTGGCAAAACAGGGAGACTCAGAATGGCCTTCCACTTGATTTCTTTGCCAACATGTGCACATATGAGGTGAGGGATGAACTAGGCATGAGTGAGGACGGGAGAGCTGGACCCTGAAAAATTTGTTTGTTTTTATTTTGGAATAGAACGGCACAGAAGTCATTGGAAGGAAACAATTGAATGTCAACAAAAGGTACTTTGTTATTTCTAGGAATTTAAGATGATTTTCTTTTGTTTCAGAATGGGATTTCAATTTAAAACCTTCCAAGTGTGTAAAAGCTACTGAAATCAGTTCAAAGATGCTGTTTCTAAATTAATAATCACCAAGGGCTGTCACTTAAATCAGGGCAAATATTTTCACTGACCTTAAAATTATGTATTTGAGAACTGTGGTGCAAAACTATTATATTTCCGTGCCTTTAACAGGAAAAAATGATCACCAAATTTCCTTTCCCTGTTCCTTTAATAAACAACATAAATACTATTTTTCCTTGGTCAACTGTAATTATATGATGCCTTTCTTGGCTAACAAAAAAGCCCTTTGGAATGCCTAAGAACTCTGTTGAAGGTGAGACACCAGAAATGGAAAATGTACCACTGAAGTTTCAGATTTAAATTTAAGAACTTATATAAAACTTTCTAACTCAAAGGTTACCTCTGCTGGAATTAGAAGGTGACTTACATAAGCAATTATCACACAGCCCTCTAGGATACAAAACTGAAGACTTTCTAACTTCCATTTTTAGCAGTCCTATCTAAGTGTTGGAGCTGTAACCAATGTACCTTTAAATTCAAACAGAGGTAAAGCTCAAAGGCACTCATAAACTCGTTATGAAATATGACAAATTAATAATATCACTGTGAAAGAAAATCCATTTGATCTAAGCAGAAACTCTAAACCTCTTCCTCCAAATCCATTTAAATAAAACAGTTTACCATTTCTCATGAGGAGGATGAGAATCTGGTGTTCGAGGACAAAAACTGAAAATCTTTATAAGGTGCAGCCCTTGAAAAACCTTCAACAGCAATTATATTATGGGGCTAACTTCCCAGCTTGCATTACACCTTCTCCCCAGGAAGCTTTAAGCCTCCTCATCGCAGGCTTTTCTGAGGGTCTGTGGCAAGGCTCGCTACGCTCTCAGTCTGCTGTCTCTGAAGAAGTAACGTGACCCCACTTCACGTTTGTCCTGTGTGGAGAAACACACTTGTCACTGCGTTCAGAAAAACACAATCCTACTACCAGTTTTGGGCTGTGCCAATGGGTTCGTAGGTCTTTTTCTCCTCTTTCCTCCTGTCCTCTGTATATTTCCTCAATCCCCAAACAGCAGGCCTGGCCAGGAATGGAGAAAAACACACTACAGAGGTAGTGAAGCACCTCCATCTCCTGACATTCTGCCCTCAGAGGAAAGGAGATTGGATGTCTGCTTATAACCAGAGTCAGAGAGAGATGACTGGCTATGTATTATCCCTTCTTTAACTAACACACTTCCAATACCTTGTTTAAACAAGAATTACTTATTTAGCACATACACAGAAGACGTGACTGAGAAGTATCTTTTGAATAGAGTACTAGCAGTCATACATTGTTTTATTTTATGAAAACATTAAAAATGAAAGATAAAGGAAAGGAAATTTTCCTCAGACAAATGATAGTGCATGGTAACAAGTGCAACAGAGGAAACTTACCTGCACAAACAAAGCAATAATAGCTATGCCGTGCTTCTTCCCTACTGCCTCATCAATGCTGCTGTACAGTGTGGAGTTCCAGTGCATCAGATGAAGCTAAAACAAAGCAGTGCAAATAGACCAATAGAGAAATATGTTTTGTAATAAAAAACCACCAGCAGTTAACGTCAATTAACAAAGCCTCGGCATGTGTGTGTGTGTGCATGTGTGAATATACATATCTGCATGCCTATGGCTGTGCACGTATATATAAGTGCATTCCTAATATAAACATCAAGTATCCCCAGAAAAGAAAAGTGATGTATAGCTAGCTACCAAATATCTACAACAAAGGTGTGAATAACTATGCCAATGATGCAAATGATGATTTATCAACTCCCTCATTTTGAAAGAGGGAGGGAGGGAGGAAGGGAGGAAGGGAGGAAGGGAGGAAGGAAGGAAGGAAGGAAGGAAGGAAGGAAGGAAGGAAGGAAGGAAGGAAAGGGAGGGAGGGACAGCACTATCTACTGAGAGGTTATATGCATTTCAAATATGAGTTTTTCCAGTACTAATGCTAAAATGTAATCTCTGTGGCTGGGTCCGATAACATTGCAGAGCTTGAACATCCTAAGCACAGCTGCTTTGAAGTTTATCTGCCAACAACTTTTGCACATTCCACATAGATAAAACAGCTAAAAAAAATACAAACTGTTAGATTTAATTCCCGTTGTAAAATCATGATCAAAGTTTTGCTCAGTCATGTGTCTAAGAAGGTAAAATGTCACCCTGTTATCTAACATTGTTTCCACCTTCAGCAAAATTAGTTTTTAAAACAGATAGTGTGTCTTCCTATTTTGTGTTTCTTTTCTGCCGAGTAACAGCTTCTGTGAAATACTTATTGCCCTTTACGCAGCAGAAGTTCACTAAGGCATCTCATCATTTCAGAAGACCAGTTCCTCAAGCAATTGCTCTCCCCTTATTTAATCTCCAATGAGAAATCTGGGTACTCCTCTTGATGACTGTCAATTCAAAAGTCAATATAAAATTTTAAATTAACATATTGTAAATCAAATTAAATTCCAAATTATCATACAAATAATTCTATTCATGCTGACCAAAGGCATCTGCTGTGCTAAAAACATGAAATCTTTTTCTTAAAAAAATTAGTAATTCATTTGCACATGAGAACATTAATACAAACGTACTTGCCCACAGCTATAAAACTTCCAGACATACAAATGCTCCCTGTTAGAACTAAGCTGTCTCTCTATTTCCCATGGATTTACTTGGTACCATGTATTGTATCATCTATAAAAAAACTTTGTTAGTCATTTGATTTGCCTTTGGCTTTTAAAGGAACAAAACCACAGGATCACATAACAAGATTTCAGTCTCCGACGCTCACTTTAGCAGACACAGAACTACCACCACCCAAGATAAAAATCGAAGCACTGCACTTTCCCAGACGAGCCTGGCGTTTGCACCAGCTATCCACTAGAGGGGGCACACGGAGTCCCGTCCCCCCACCTCGAGCCTCACCAAAAACCTGACGTTAAGAAGGAAAGGGGAAAGGATCAGTTTGGGGTGACTGCGGGCGGGATGGCAATGTTCTCTCCTTGGTGTGGAGAGAACAGCGGTGCGTGGCACCGCGATTCGGTTGGTTGGAAATGTCAAAGCAAGCTTGTCCTTTGGTGGCTGGAACAATAGCGCTTAGAGCGATCGACAAATATAAAGAGACGGTGAGTTTGACTGTGTCAACAGGCAAGTCTTGGCTAAAGCTGCCGTGGCATTCAGCAGCATGTTAGGCTCCTTTGGAGATGAAGTCTGTAATCTGACATTTGCATTCTGAGCAGTGGGTTTTTTCTGAAGATTTGAAAGGAAAATGCTGAGCCTTAGTAAGAGGAAAATGAGCAAGAGCTTCAGATCATACCAGCAATGATCCCTGCTTACCCAGAAACAGGCTGTTGTCCTGTCTTAGGCAGCAGGCTCAGCAGGGCAGAGACTTCCATATGATAAGGCTATATATCAGCTAGAAAAATGACACCAAAATCTCTGCGTAATACTATAAAACATTAAGAGGTCTAGAATTAGTCTGTGCAGCAGCATAAGCAGCCTGATGGGAAGACATGCTCCAAATACACTTTGCTGCATGAAAGGGGGACCACAGTGCAGAATGCCCTGCAGCTGGAACTGCTTTCCAAGGAATGTACCTACTGGCCAGCACCTCTTCCCACATCTCCAGGGGACATGGGGGGAGTAAGTCAAGTATTAGCTACACATTTTAAGAGTATCTTTAGGTCTCTGCATGCCCTCCAGGTCTCCTTCCCTTCCACTAGCTCAACAGAGTTCAGGATGGTCTACTAAAAAAAAGAAAATATAACACAAAGACAAAAAAGGGATGTACTTAAGGCTGATGTTCCTAGACATGGTTCAGGTGTAGTAATCAACATTAAACTGAAACAGTGTAGATTTAGATTAGATATTAGGAAGAAATTCTTCACTGTGAGGGTGGTGAGGCACTGGAACAGGTTGTCCAGAGAGGCTGTGGATGCCCCATCCCTGGAAGTGTTCAAGGCCAGGTTGGATGGGGCTTTGGGCAACCTGGTCTAGTGGGGTGTGTCCCTGTCCACGGCAGGGGGCTTGGAACTAGAGGATCTTTAAGGTCCCTTCCAACCCAAACTGTTCTATGATTCTATGATTAATAAAGGTCCTGAAACAGGCACTCAGCACTTCTGGTCCAAAGGTTGCTGTAACTTTGAGGTTCTGCTCAAGGATGTTTTAAATACGCAGTAGGCTCCTTGGAACAAGAATTATCATTTTGTACTGGGTTGCTAAAGTGCAACGTAGAATGGACTTCTGGTCTGTGTTTAAGATGCTACTCTGTTACTTCCTTAGAGGTGGCAATAATTATAGTAGATCAATAATCTATTTTTTACACAGTAGGTCGTAAACTTGCTGTTCTAAACACTGTGGTGCCAAAATAGTATCAGCGGGTTCATAAATGGATTAGACAAACTATTGACAAGTCCAAAAACAGACACTAAACAGAACAGGTAAAGATGCTGCCTCTAGCACTCCTAATCCTAAGATGGTAGATGAGTGGGGAATACAACAAACAGTGGTCAGGCTCCTGTGCTCTCCCTATACAGCATCCCTCACTGGCACCACTAGGGACAGCAGGCTGGATGGACCGCTGGCCTGATCCAGCAGCATATTCATTATGTTCCCATGTTCTGCATCAAGGTGATATTCAGAACAGCTATTCACAAAAAAGGTTCTGTCATTAAGGATTTACAAACTGAAATTAGGCAGGCAATGTCATGGAAAATAATAATTAATACCATAATACTTCCTAAGAACAGGCCAACAGGCCTCACATCTTTTGCTAACTCTGATAAGTCCATGCATGCACTTTTAAATAACATGCACTTTTAAATAAATAAATAGATGTCAACATGCACTTAAATAAATGGAAGTCAAATCAAATTAATTCTTCTCCAGAGCAGGAAAAATATAGCTCAGACGGGAGCTGGTTAAGTAAGTAAACAAAAAAGCGATTCAGAAAGGGAAATATTAGCAAGGAAGCAGTAAGGCCCGAGTGTTTGTAGCAAAGTGTTGCTTTCAAATTGTGGTTTATCCTGTGTGTTCATATGGTTCTCTGGAGCTGTTCTGCCTTTTGTTTTCTCTTTTTTTATTTGCAGTATGACATTAGATGAAAACATCAGATAACAGTTAAAAAAAAAAAAGATGGCAAAAAGTCTACAAACATTACAAAATTTGAACTCTAGAGAGTATAGTCCATGAACAACGTGGCCTGTAACTCCTGTTAATATTTATGGGAATCAGATGTGCACAGAGAAAAGAGCCCAGTCCTTTTACAAATCTTGAAACTGCGAATATAATTTCATGCCCATGTACATTGACAACTTCATACCTATGTATCTGTACCTTGCAAGTAGCAATAGCCAGAGAGGCTTATTAGATTAACACTCTGTATTTTGGTAACCTTCAGTTTTACGTTGATTTGACACAGCTATATAAAAAGTGCATGCTCACAAGGGGTGCCAGTCTCCAATATGAACACAACCATGTAGAGTTGTTTTTTTTTAAATAATCAGCTGCAGTGTATTGGCAGCATACCATTGTGTGGTTTTTATTTGGAGCAAAAACAAGCTCCACATGTCAGAATGACAGGAGAGGCTCTGCTCAACTTGTTAGCTAATGTTTTGATACTTGGTAGTTACGATGGTTCTATACAACCAATATGAGTCAGCTATGCTGTTAGTGATGGTGGCTGGCTCGGCGTGCCAGAAAGTGTATTTTTAAAAAATAATCAGAAAGCTGTGAGCAACTCCTTAGCACTCAAAAAAATACATTTTTTTTCTTGGATAAAAAAATAAATTGGAGCCTTTTGACATTCCAGCTGTAAATCAAAGAATTGTAGCAGTGACTTCCTTAAAATCAGATAAACTGAAACCTCATGAAGGCAAATGATAATAAAGCACTGATAAAGTTGATTTGTTCTGTGAACAGCTGGAGAGACTCTCCTTCACAGGAAAGATGAAGAAATTAGTCCAGGTAGCAGAGAGAACCCTGCAGAAGTCCTACTCTGTATAGAGCAAATTCTGATATTTTTCTCAAATTTCATCCAGTCTCCACTCAACCAAAAGACTACTGATCCCAGTCCTCATGTCCTTGCTTAGGAAAAGCTGATACGGCCATTAAGAAGGGGCCAGTCTCAAATCAAGACTTTTTCAAAACTGAGTAAGGACCTAAGATTCTAGCTATTAAATCAATAAACAAATGAAAACCCTACACTTAAATCCATTCCTTTCTCTACCACAGATATAGCCCTTATGTCAATACAAAAATAAAAAGCCCGGGAAGGTAGATTTTTGCACAGAATCAGAGTCCCTGAGATGACAGATTCTGGCAAGAATCAGGTCACTTTACATGACCCAGCACATTTATCAGTTCTTGAAGCCAGTTTCTCTCAATTAAAAACAGAGTTACAAAAACACGTACATTTTTCTCATCTGGGGCACTGGCTGCTCTCTGGAAATCTGCAGGGTCCTAAGCTCACTGAGAACAAAAATGATCTTTTAAACTCTGT